CCTTACCTTCCGATGTTCAAGATATGTTACTCGTTTTTGTAATAGTTTTCGGTTAAAATACTGTTATATTAGTGATATTCTATTCATACTGTGCTTGATATAATACATTCACGGAAATGTAATATTTTTGCAACTACAATGCTGATGTCAACACAAGCGTGGTTACAGCGAGACTGACTGAGTGAGGGAGAGCTGTGCGTGTGTGTGTGAGGTTGCGGGAGCGGGCGGTGTCCCGTGTTCGGTGCCACGCGCGAGTTGAATGGCGCACGATTTGAATGTACAGTAGTACCCCGCTTTACGCGGTCAATTGAACCCACAGGGTACCGTGTTAAGTGAAAACCGCGTTAGGTGAACAACAGAACACATGGGATTAATTCCAATAGAGACTGGCCCGACCCCCAAACTCTACTTTTTCCGACACAATACCTATGTTCTAGTAAAAATAACATCTAAATATTATGATGGTACATGCACACAATTAATACTTAAGAGAAATAGAGAAATACAGTCGCCAAGTTAATGTCCATTCAAATAATGGACTCAACTCCCTCCCCCTCTTCTCACACTACACTGCTGGCTCTTCCCTCTCTGAGAAATTTTTGGGGGAAAACCACTAGATTTTAATAAATAATACCTCAAACTAAAGTTAGGATAATATAATTGACATTGCTGGATTCCTTGTAAGACCAGTAATATTTTGAATATAAATGTCATATATTTTGCACAAAAGATAACATATTTACTCAGAGTAAACATTACTGTATATCTAAAATTTGTATGTCTAATGCAAAATCTATGATGTTTATATTCAAAATGATCATCAAATTGTAAGAATTCCAGCAATGTAAATTATATTCTGGCCGGGTAATTTGTATGAATTTTCTGAGCTAAATAAAAAAAAAATATATTATACTTCACCGTGTATATGAGTAGATGAACCGCGTTAAGTGAAAGTTCGGTTCTGGCGAGGCACTGCGTATATGAGAAATCGCGTTAAGTGAAACCGCGTAAAGCGGGGTAATACTGTACTTCAATTACTTCAATGTACAGAATATTCCTCCGGCGGGGCAATCCGCGTATTTGCAAATCCGTGTATGCTAAACCCGCGTATGTTAAGGGCCGACTGTATAAGCAATTGCCGCTGGCTAGTGTGGACACTACTGTCTACTCTAGGGTTGCGGCGAGAACTGTTGCTAAGCTAAAAAGCCAGTAATTCTCGTAATTACCCAAGACTTTTCCATAACAAGAGACAGCACCTCACACTTTCAAGTAATGTACAGTATTGCAGATGACTGAAAATCACTGCATTGTTGGTGACACGTGTGTAGGCTCGTAGGGGCAGGGTTGCCAAATATGTTTCTCTCTCTTTACTTTTGACAAGACTCCTCAATATTAAGTCAACTTTTTATTCCCAAATTCATTAATACAAGGTTTAACGTGTGCAGTATTTGTAAACTTATAAGAGCAAATACTTGCTTAGTTCCTCACCATGAACCAGCCATCACTGGCCCGTATGAACGCGAACACTTCCTATCAGGTTCTGCCACATATAGCATGACACAGTCAAAGTTTTTTTGTATGTATCCTTCTGATGTATCCATAATGATAATCTATTCCCAGAAGAAAATCTTAACAAAAATAATATCCCAATGATTATGAGTAAAATTTGAATACGATTTTTGTATGGCAGCTTATGAAGCTGCCATACATTAAGTCTAATTATGCCATGCGATTGACTAGAGAAGTGCTTGTGATCGACTGGTTGGCCACCCCTGCCCTACTGTATACGTACAGTACTGTATTGTGTTGGTGCTGCAGCGGTAACAATTATATTTCTCTTTCTCACCAATATGTCAAGGATTTGAATCTTGCTTGGCCCAGACACAAGTGAGAAGGGTGTTACCCAGTGTGACCCTACCAAATTTCATAGGTTTCCCGGAGTCTGGTTTCATCTTGTACTAACACTGGATAGACCAACTGCCCAAAGGGCTAGTAAGCTTAAAAGTGGTGAAAATTATTTAAAAATATATTAAATCCTGGTGGAGCAGTAAGGAAAAATAGTGAATTTACTTAAGAAATGGCAAGAGAACCATTATCCCTACCTTTGGCACTTAATTACAGTAGTTAACAAACAAAACAAAGAACTGTGCCTGACTTTAGCAGTAATGGTCCTCTCAGTATTACCAGACTTAATTTTATAGTACAGTATGCCCTCCAAGTTCGTGGATTTTTACTTCGCGGTTCTCGGTTGTTCGGGGATGACACCCAGGATGTACCCAAGAATGTCTGTGGTTAGTTTTAAAGTTGCTGGCATTTTCACGGCTAGGACAGGGAACCATTCGTTCTATAGACTGTAATTTCCTTTACCTGTATTGTAAATATATATGTGTGTGTGTGTGCGTGCACGCGCGCAAAACACGTACAAATACAGTAGTACCCCGATTTACGCGGTCAATTGAACCCACAGGGTACCGCGTAAAGTGAACGACAGAACATATGGGATTAATTCCAATAGAGACTGGCCCGACCCCCAAACTCCACTTTTTGACGACACACAACTATGTTGTAGTAAAAATATTATCTTAACTTTATGATGGTATGCACACATAATTAATAATTAAGTGAAATATCAATAATATTAGTTTTTTTAACACTTACATTAGTAGAAAAGATGGCTGGGCACACAGGGATGGGGGGTTGGTCCCAAGGCAGAGGGCAGATTATTGGCCCTCACCTGTATCACTTATATCAATTGTATCACTATCCACCACATAGGCTTGCAGGCCCTCTTTGTCAAACCCCTCGAAGTCCATATAAGTCCATATCCTCACTATCACTGACTTAGGCCGGCTGTGGTGGGTGGCGGGTGAAGAACTCGGTAATGTTTTGATGACTGGGCGACCTTGTGCGCATCCTGCCCACGCCGCTTCCCGCGTATATGAGTAGATGCACCGCGGAAAGTGAAAGTTCGGTTCTGGCGGGGCACCGCGTAAATGAGAAATAGCGGAAAGTGAAACCGCGTAAAGCGGGGTAATACTGTAATAATAATTGGAAAATCCTCTCACAAATAATCAGAAACAAATTTATTAAAAATTTTGACAGTCCGCAAATGTTATTCGCGGATTTGGTGATTCGCGGCCATTTTGAGAACCCAACTTCAGCGAATTTGGGGGCCCCCTGTACTCGCTGGTCTGTTCCTGCTAAATATCAGATATTGTGAAGTGAATTTTTTTTAAAATTTTGTGGATATGAAAGCCGTGGTCTACTCGTGTTCGTACCCTAACCCTTTGCGGATGCGGATTCCCTCTGATCTAATAAAATCATATGGTGTTAGCCAAATAAAATATTAAAAGTGGCGTCCTCATAGTAAAGGGATTAAAGAGCAGTTATGCTGTGGAGGGCTTTCAGAATCTAGGTTCAGTTAAGATTTTTATTGTAAGAAGATATCTGTGGAAGTTAGTCCTTTACTGTTCTGCCATGGAAAATCTTTTGCTTTGACCTTCAATAAGTCTAGGATAGAGAGTATGGACTCTTTGCAAATGATAGTTGATCTAGGGAGGAGGTTGGAATTAGGAAGAATTATTGCCCAATAATATTGCTTCAGTTGTTGATAAGAATAGGTATTTCCTCTCCTCATTGTGACATACAGTACTGTAGTTGTTTTTGCTCATTCTCAGGATTTGAGTCAGAAAGAAGGGAGTGATAGTTTTCTGTCACTTTCTGCAGGTACCAGTTTGTGGAGGCCTGGGCTAGACTTATTGAATCTTGTCACTGCAGTTCAGCTTAACACTGATATTGCAAGCTTCTTGACAGTACTCCTTATGGATTCTTCTCATAGACAGTAGTATTTTAGGACTTTAGATCTATCTCTTTGAAACAACTTTTGATATTGATACATTCACCTGGTCCTGAGAACCAGTTCTTAGATTTCTGGAGTTTGTTGGGAATCTGATGAACGGATAATTTTAATTGGTTTTCATCAAAATAGTTTTTCTTATCTGCCCTTGCATCAGATAGAAAAGGGATAATACAGTATTATGTTCTCTAGAACCACTCTTAAGGCAGCAAGGTAGTCAACTGAGTCTTAGATTTTTATCAAAGACTGATTTCTGAGTTTGATGAAGGGATAATCTAATGATATTAGTTACAAGGCAGTTTATTCAAGAGGAACTTCTTTTTAATCATACATATATACAGTAAGTGGAGCTTCCAAAGGCTACACTTCCAAATGAAGGTGATAGGAGTTACGTTTTGTATGGGTATGAGGTGGTAGTGGCAGAACTTGTAAATTACACAAAGGTAAAAATGGTAACCCAGCTTATTCACCTTGGGAAGGACAGTTTAGCTGGTGCCTCCTAGGGCTCACAGTGGTGGGGGCAGGCATATCATATAGTAATTCTCAATTATCTGAACTTGACTACTGTATTTCTTTCTCTCTCTCTCTCCTGAAAAATATTTTTCAGGTTTACTGCACTAAACATTTCAAGTTAATAAGACAGTTACTTTGAGGATTTAGTGAGTTTTAGGGTATAAATTTGGGTCCCAGTACAGTACATAACTCCTTATTTCCTTTGTTCACCATTGATATACCATATGCAACCTGCACTGTCAGTTAACTTTTAAATGGCACTTGCCACCAGTGGAAGTTTCATGCTCCTTGTGCTGCAAGTGTACACATACACTGTAGGAGGGGTGTAGGGAATCCTTAGCCTCCTGTTGAGGGTTAAACCTAACCCCATGCATTAAAAGGGATATATTTTATGTATAATTATGTTATAGATTACATGAACAGCACAACAAAACATTATCAAGGTTATTCTTAACTATACAGTGTGAAGGAAAATCAAAATTACATCCTTATGGCTGTATTCTTATTATGAAGGTGCTGTACTAAATGGGCTAATAGGTTGGTAAAAGTTATTTTCTATTTCTGTTACTGTAATAATTAAATAAATAAGATTTTCTCAATGAAGTAATTGAAGATTGTTACTTACTTACAGATGAGAAGAGTTTCCGAGAACTCTTAGTCTGGCTTGAAGATCAGAAAATCCGGCATTACAAGATTGAGGACCGAGGGGACTTGAAGGCCATTGATTCCAATGACTGGCCCACAGCATACAAGCGTTACCTTGGTGGACTCAACTGTCCAACCAACCCTAATGACCGTCCAGCTGTAGTGGATTGGTTATTGGGGCTTGCTGTGCGGTTTGAGTATGGGGACAATGGTATGAGACCTTTAATTACACTGGAGAAGAAAATCTGTTATATTGAGGGTCTATCATATATGAAACCTCCATTTAACAAACTACATAGATGAGAAAGTCCATTATATCAATGGTTCCTTAGATGTGAAACCCCCATCTAATGGATTATATAGAGATATAAGTCTGTTATATGAAGGTTTTACTGTAAGAAGTTTTCTAATAAAACTAAAGAAATAGTCTCTTATGTGATAATATAGTTATTACAGTACAGTACTGTATAGATTTCTCATATTCAGGAGTGTGCCTCTTAAAGTTACCCAATGATTATAGCAGTTACTTTGTTACAAATGATCATGTGCTGGAAGAAATTTGCCATTTACAATCCCCTAATTATTATACAGTATTATTTTATGTCTATTTACAGACTGCACCTAAAAAACCTGGCAGTCTGATGATTTGGTTTTGTTCACTGTCAGTTTGACAGCATTTTGCACATTGTGAACTTAATGATTTTTTTTTCTCTGAAACAACTACCATCGCTTGGACTGTTCTTAATTTTAAATCTTCTTGTCAGTTTTTTTACTTTGATTTAGTGTTACAATATTTTTTCTCTTGTTTATTTAATTATTTTACACTTATTCAGTAATCTAGGATCTAAGGTTGTCCAATTCTGGAAAACTGATTTATTACTGTAATATTATAATATTTCCAGCTTAGACCTTTGACAGTGAAACAGGGACTTGAATGAAGCTGAATGGGCTAAAGATCAAGCTGCAGGAAATAATTACCTGAGAGTTACATCTAGGATTGACAGAATGGATGGGGTTAAAAAATACTGAAGAGTATGGGATGTTTGGATTGGCTAAGAGGACCGGTGGTGGAACAGGTGTGGGGAGACATTCTGTGGTATGTACACTCGCCACAAAAAGCTCTCGAATGCTCTAATGGTCATAAAATATTACAAAACGAACAAGAAATCTGAACATTGCTCTTTGAGGAAGTTTTATTGGAAATTAAATTACTTCTTTTCACATGTGAATACAATTAAGATGAACAACATATAATTATTACGAAATACTGAGTCACTTTGCAACCAGGCATACCAACCATTCTGAGATGACACAAGCCATAGTGCTCATTCTGAAATTGTCGTACCCTGCTGTTCGAGAACATTTTGTGCTGCGTGGACGTATAGGAATAAATGCCAGAGGATAGGATGATAAATATTATAGAGACTAAGTAGCAGATGCTTGGGATAGAGGAAACCTGTTGGCATTTTGGGAGGGCAAGGATGAATACTACAGTACAGGGTACAGTATTTTAAGGAAGGGAATAGAGGAAAAAGAAAATACAAACTGATAGGATGGCCTGGAGGCTTCTCCATCATTGTTACACCACCAAAGTGAGTGCCTTAAGGCAACTGCCAAAATCCTGCTGCTTGTTGGGAGACAACAGCCGAAATCTTGCTGCTTGCTGGGCTGTCAGGCCAGCGGCCAACAAAACTGGCAACATGTTTGGAGGAAAGTGCCCAGTGTGGCACTGCCTTTAAGGGAGTGATACAGCATGGCAAGAGGAGAACTGTATATGATAATGGTTTTGCTTTCAGATTATAATAGGAAATGAGTGTATATTTATTAATTTATGACTTTTGCTCCTTACAGTGGATAAATATAAAACAGAGACTGCTGAGAATGTGCGTAACAGACAACAGAGTGCTCCTAAAGTTGTCAACACTAACCCTCTTGATGCACTAGACTTCCAAAGCCCAGAATTTAGAGGTGAGTAATGTTAAAAAAAGTTAATAGTCTGCAAATAGGAACTGGAATGAGCTTACAGTTTCTTGTCATATGTAACAATTGCCAGTACCCTTTAAAATTACAGGACTTTAATGCTAAGGATAAGCTACACTGACAGAAAAACAAATGAAGAAGTACTAAGATTAGCAAAATCTTCAAGAAAAATACTTGAAATGTACAGAAAAAGAAAAATGAGATACTTGGGTCATATAATAGGGGATGAGGGAAGGGAATAATAACAAATATTTATGGTCACAGTTGAGGGTAGAAGGGCCAGGGGAAGGCAGAGACTGGGATGGATGAATGAAATTAAAAACTGGGTTTCCAGAGAGATCTAAAACCTTAAGAGGATTGGTAAAAACAGCCCGAGAATGTTTAGAGTGGAGGACTGTGGTTGCCACCCTTCAGATATGAGGAGGGTACTCTGGTTGATTGAATAGAGCTTAAGACACAAGTACATATTGAATACTGTACTTCTGTGTTTGTGTTTTTATATGTTAAAAAGTGTCTTGTGTAGATTTTACTCACATTTGTATCGCATGCACTATATACTATATAATCAGTTATGATACATTTGATACTTTTTCAGATGGAATAATCCGGCTGACACAGCAGCTAAATATAACCCCACATCCCGACCACCTTATAACACTCAAGGCAATTAGTAAACTCATCAGTACCAGACTGTCAACAGAAGCTATACAGAACCCTGGAGAAGTTGTTCATCAAGTATGTTGTACAGTGATTAGCGTACAGTGGTCCCTTGGTTAACGAGCACAATTCGTTCCAGAAGGTTGCTCGTTAACTGAAAAATTCGTTAACCGAAACCATTGTTTCAATGGGTTTTTGGATAATTGGTTCCAGCTCACCGGAAAATTACATACAAACAAAAAAATAAATGCAGTAAAGTACACTTACTTTGAGGTGTGCATGTAGAAGGCTCCTGGTTGATGATGATGGGAATTAGAATGGGTGTGGAGGAGAAGGGAGAAGAAGGGCATTGGGGTGGAAGAGAAGTCACCCCATGCTGCCATTTCACCCATAAAATTTTAGTTCACTTGGTGTAATTCAAGATATTTTCTTTAAATCAACACTGCACTGCGCTATATATTATCAATATGTAAAATATATTTCAAAATGACCAATAATTTGACTGGAAAAACAGAAAAAAGCATTTATGTTGAAGAGTCTCAAACAAGATGTTAATAATAATAATAATAATAATAATAATAATAATAATAATAATAATAATAATAATAATTAACGGTTTATTGAAAAAATTCTGCAGCCCGAAGGCTGAAAATATACATTGGACATAAATGACTTATTACATACATTGGTGGTTTAACAAAAGCCTTCATTAGAGAAAGGTAAAGGAACATGCAGTGAACATACAGATTAATGTAGGTATTGAACAGCAAACTCGTAGTGTAGTAACTCCCTCCCAGATGGTGTTAGGAGGAACTCACGTGGTGTAGTAGTTCCCTCAGATGTTGTTATGAGGGACCTGGCGTGGTGTAGTAATTCCCTCGCAGATGGTGTTATGAGGGATGGTAGTAATTACCTCACAGATGGTGTTATGAGGGACCTCACGTGGTGTAGTAATTACCTCACAGATGGTGTTATGAGGGACCTCACGTGGTGTAGTACCTCACAGATGGTGTTATGAGGCCTCACGTGGTGTAGTAACTATGAGGGGCATCACGTGTTGTAGTAATTCCCTCACAGATGGTGTTATGAGGGGCATCACGTGGTGTAGTAATTCCCTCACAGATGGTGTGATGAGGGACTTGACGTGGTGTAGTAATTCCCTCACATATGGTGTTATGAGGGACATGTGGTGTAGTAATTCCCTCACTGATGGTGTTATATGAGTGAGGTTTGGTCCCAGGCCTTCCTATCGTAGACGGATTAACACATCGGTGGTTGTTGTTGGGTCTCGTGGGGGCCGTTATCACTGGGTACCTAGGACCTCACTGTGTGAAGGCTAACTTGGGTATGACTGTTACTGTTGAGTTGCTCTCACTGACTTAAGCACTGTTCACCACTGTTCACCTCTGTTTAACACTGGTTCCGTTCCCCTCCCAAATGAAATTGCAACTTCCGGCGAGAACTTGTTGATATTCCGGTGGGGAGGAGGGTTGGTATGGGCCAACTCAACAGTTGACCTGGCTGCTCTGAGAGGAGCGCCAGGTACGTCTTGACCCTTCGGTGGTCAAGGATGTTCCTTCCTCTGAACTGGTAAACAAACTGACGCCAAGCTTGGTGTGTTGAGTGGCTGTTTGGCGCGCAAAAAACTAGTTTCCTGTACTTCAATTACAGTATTACCCCGCTTTACACGTTTTCACTTTCCGCGATTTCTCATTTACGCGGTACCTTGCCAGAACCAGACTTTCACTTTCCGCAGTGCATCTACTCATATACGCGGTGAAGTATAATTTTTTTATTTTTTTTTATTTAGCTCATAAAATTCATACAAATTACCCGGCCAGAATATAATTTACATTGCTGGAATTCTTACAATATGATGATCATTTTGAATATAAACATCATGGATATTGCATTAGACATACAAATTTTAGATCTAATGTAATAATTTGGTTTACACAAAGCAAATATTTTATCCTTTGTGCAGAATATATGAAGTTTACATTCAAAATATTCCCTGACCTGCAAGGAATCCAGAAATGTCAATTATATTATCCTAACTTTAGTCTGAGGTATTATTTATTACTAAACGTTAAAATCTAGAGTTTTCACCCACACATTTATCTGGTAGGGAGGGAAGGTGGGGGGGAGGGTTGGGACCGACCGCCCAGCTGGCGTGAGTGTGAGGAGGGGGGAGGCAAGGTGGGGTACTTTGATTGACAGATAGTGTCGTGAAGAATATTTTTTTTTTTATTAACTGAAGATACAACCCTCACTTTACGTGGTTAATGTAACCCACAGGGTACCGCGGAAAGTGAGAAACGCGTAAAGTGAATAACATAACATATGGGATTAAATGAAATAGAGACCAGCTGACCCCAAAACTCCACTTTTTCCAACACAATACCTATGTTCTAGTAAAAATAACATCTTAATTTTATGATGGTACATGCACACAATTAATACTTAAGAGAAATAGAGAAATACAGTCGCCAAGTTAATGTCCATTCAAATAATGGACACGACTCCCTCCCCCTCTTCTCACACTACACTGCTGGCTCTTCCCTCTGAGAAATTTTTGGGGGAAAACCAGGTATAGTAATAAATAATACCTCAAACTAAAGTTAGGATAATATAATTGACATTGCTGGATTCCTTGTAAGACCAGGAATATTTTGAATATAAATGTCATATATTTTTCACAAAAGATAACATATTTACTCAGAGCAATCATTACATCTAAAATTTGTATGTCTAATGCAAAATCTATGATGTTTATATTCAAAATGATCATCAAATTGTAAGAATTCCAGCAATGTAAATTATATTCTGGCCGGGTAATTTGTATGAATTTTATGAGCTAAAACAAATATCTTCAGTTAATAAAAAAAAAAATATTCTTCACGACACTATCTGTCAATCAAAGTACCCCACCTTGCCTCCCCCCCTCTTCCAACCAGCCAGATGGTCAGTCCGTCCCAACCCTCCCCCCCACCTCCCACCAACCCTCCCTTCAAGAGAAAGAGTGGGTGAAAAAACTAGATTTTAACATTTAGTATTAAATAATACCTCAGATTAAAGTTAGGATAATATAATTGACATTGCTGGATTCCTTGTAAGACCAGGAATATTTTGAATATAAATGTCATATATTTTGCACAAAAGATAACATATTTACTCAGAATGAACATTATATCTAAAAATTTTATGTCTAATGCAAAATATATGATGTTTATAGTCAAAATGATCATCAAATTGTAAGAATTCCAGCAATGTAAATTATATTCTGGCCGGGTAATTTGTATGAATTTTATGAGCTAAAATAAAAATCTTCAGTTAATAAAAAAAAAATATTCTTCACACGGTAACAGATGGTCGGTCGCCGGTCCCTCCCTCCCCCCCACCCCCCACCAACCGTCCCTACTACATAAATGTGTGGGAATACCAGACTGTTTACCTTTTTAGTAATAAATAATAAATCAGACTAAAGTTAGGATAATATAATTGACATTGCTGGATTCCTTGTAAGACCAGGAATATTTTGAATATAAATATCATATATTTTGCACAAAAGATAACATATTTACTCAAGAGTAAACATTATATCTAAAATTTGTATGTCTAATGCAAAATCTATGATGTTTATATTCAAAATGATCATCAAATTGTAAGAATTCCAGCAATGTAAATTATATTCTGGCCGGATAATTTGTATGAATTTTATGAGCTAAATAAAAAAATTATACTTCACCCGTGTAAAGGGGTACACCCACCGCGGAATGTGAGCATCCTGGGTTCTGGCAGGGCACCGCGTAAACGTAGAAACGCGGAATGTGGGACCGCGTAAAGTGAGGGTTGACTGTATTTACATGTTTTAGCTCATAAAAATACCTCAGACTAAATTAGATAATATAATTTACATTGCTGGAATTCTTACAATATGATGATCATTTTGAATATAAACATCATGGATTTTGCATTAGACATACAAATTTTAGATCTAAGTCTTAATTTTTGGTTTACTCAAAGCAAATATTTATCTTTTGTCCAAAATATATGAAGTTTACATTCAAAATATTCCCTGACCTGCAAGGAATCCAGAAATGTCAATTATATTATCCTAACTTTAGTCTGAGGTATTATTTATTACTAAACGTTAAAATCTAGAGTTTTCACCCAAACATTAATCAGAGAGGTAGGAGCTAGTGAGCTGGGAAGAGGGGGGGGGGTGGGATTTGAGTCCATTATTTGAATGGACATTAACCTGGAGACTGTATTTCTCTTAAATATTAATTGTGTGAGCATACCATCATAAAATTTAGATGTTATTTTTACTGCAACATAGGTATTGTGTCGGAAAAAGTGGAGTTTGGGGGTCGGGCCAGTCTCTATTGGAATTAATCCCATATGTTCTGTTGTTCACTTTACGCGGTTTTCACTTTCCGCGGTACCCTGTGGGTTCAATGGACCGCGTAAATCGGGGTACTACTGTATGTTCAATAATTATTAAAATGACTAAAAAATTTAATGTAAAACTTTTAAAATTATTGAATAGTACAACCTTCTTGATATTTACTAAAATGGTAAGGAATTTAAGCCCTAAAACCGATTACTGTATTGGCGGACTAATACTACAGCTGGTGGGCAGCCAAATGCAGGCGAAAACATGTTGGGAAAAATTCGTAAGGAATTCGTTAACCGAGGGCTTGCTCGTTAACCGAAGTGAAAAATCTTATGGAAGGTAATTCGTTAACCGAGGCGCTCGTTAACCGAGGGATCACTGTATTTCTATTTATTTTTTAATTCCTCATAGCTTGTCTCTAGAATTGTGTGGTATTCTGTGATTTCGCATGGCTATCAGAATATAGTTAGCTTGAACTGAGAAAGTAATGACTGTGAATAGGAAACAGCTGAGTTGGATGATTTTAGAGTCAAAGAAAGAATGTCTCAGAAATTAATGAATAATAATGAAATGGCAGACATAATGTATTAACCCATACATAGCCAAGGTTGAAGAGGAAATAATGGTTGTGTGAGAAAGGTTTGCATTGTAGAGATATACTGTGCAAGTAATTGGTAAAATGAACTGCTTTTAGACATCACTGTTGAATCAATCTAAGAAAATTTGTGACTTTTTATGGTTATTCAGCAATATCTCATAAATACATTTTAATTCTTTACTCCACGTTTGTCTGCTTCCATGCCAGGTGTATAGCCTGAGAATTATAGGGATCTGATTTTGTAGTAGTACTGTGCAGTAATCATGTAAGTGATGAGCCATGTTAGAAAAAACTGTGGGAAAATATTTTTGCTCTTCTATAAATGTTGAAGTACTTCAAGTTACCAGTACAGTACAGATAATCCCCAGCATGAAGTATATTCTACACACAAATGCCCATACCATGTTAAGTCTACCAGTTGCTCCCCTAAATGCAAAATCCTGAGCTCACTGCACAAGAGGTGCTTAGATATCCTTGTTACTTTCAGTTTCACCAAAATACTAATTCTCACAGATGTCTTTTATCAGTGAACTTTGGTTTGTTAAGAAACTTTTTTATTATTATTATTTGCTTTGATATTATTACACCGAAATGTAATTTGTTGCTCTTGAGGTGTTAATGATTATCATGATTAAAACATGATATTAAATTTATGGGCATGTTATATCAACAAAAAATAATATAAAACCCAATCCAGTGTCACTTTTGTATATGTAATATGTCTTTTTCTATTCGCAGGGCAAAGCTTACCCGATCTTTGAAGCTGACTTGGGCTTTGAGACTGGAGACTATGTCCTCAACAGTGCAGGAAAGGCACTGAGGCTAATGTATATTCATGACCTGAGAGAACTTCAGACAAAAATAAACGAGTGCATAGTATCAGTTCAGAACATAACTGCAGATCCCAAGACTGACACCAAGCTGGGAAAAGTGGGACGTTAATGGCAGATAACTTTACATATCCTCTAAGAATTTGGCCAGACTATGACAAACTGAATGATCTGACACATACTGTATTGGTATTTACTAGTCATGTCAGAGGAGAGTTTTTACTAAAGAGATATATACATAGCTATTAAGTGTGTGGAGGTAGAAGGTTACTGACTCCCATGCGGTAAAGTTTGACGAGTGTAACCCTATACTACTCTGAACCAAGTCCAAGACATATATGACTTATCTTGATGGCAAAAACTACCTTTTGGCATGATGTGCATGATGGCATTCCCTAGTCGTTACATATACAAATATGTTGCTATGTCTAATTTATTTTCCCAGTTGACACAAAGCCAGTGGTAAACTTGTTATGCCAAATAAACACTAATAAACACACTGCTATTAAACTTAGGGTGTGACAAGACAACTCATCCAACATTTGAATGGGTGTACATTGAACATTATTAATGCTCAAATTTTGTATTGAAGCATACAAAATATTTGGAATTTGTACTCACACTTCTGTTTTGAACAATATAGCCAAGCTTGGACCTCTTTCATTCTTACTCATATTTAGTATCCAGTATTTCTGTGATATATGACAAAACCTTGAGACTATATTAAGTCTTGCTTAACAGTGATTTGTTCAGTGGAGTATATCTCATATATAGCCAGTGTTATTGAGAGCAAGATGTCTGTGCCTGCCTGATTGTTTATGCAGTAAGAAATAAGGAATTGAAAAATATAACTACTATAAAATATTGTTTTATTTAAACATTAATTTTATTAGTAATGCTTGCAGGTTTACATATGTTCTGTACAGTGGTTCCTCTTAGTTACATACTAAGGTGTTTACATCTCCCAGCGTTGTCATGATGTTAAGGTATTCTCATGCTTGCTCTTATCAAATGGTGGTAATCTCAGCAATCTTGTAATACCAACTCCTGCAAGAGCTGAAATATATAAAGAGATATACATTAACTTAAAAAAACACTGACAATATTTTGAACAATTACCGAATATTCCAAAGATACAAATGTAAATTGTAGCAGAGATGATGCTGTCACTTACATGCCATAAAGCATGGAAAGACATTTTTTAAGGTGATTGTACACATGCCAAGTGTGGAGGAATGCCAATTAAAAATACTTTTATTGCTCATGGTGTTTGATACTAAGCACTTGTAAAATGTGAGGTAGTTAAAATGCTAGTCCCCTAAGCTTCAATATCACATTCAGAACTTTGTCTAGGTGGAGGAAATTATAATGGGTTGAAGAGCAATTCATGTTACAAAATAAGCACTCTTTATTTTTTATAGTTCATCACTCAAATCACAGTACAGTAATCATGTGCAACCTCCAAAGTGTGTGAGCCAACAAGTGACCTAGAACACTGACAGCGTTTAATGGTAATGAGCTATGGATGATGATTGCAAATTTTTGCTGCTTCTGGATGCCTAAGGCATCTACATTGTGGAACATTCAAATTTTCACTAATTATGGAGGGGTATATGGGAGCGTAGACCGATGTACAGTACTGCACTAATTCTCATTTCTTGACATACCCATCACTTAAACATTTTTTTTCCTCTAAGTTCTTGGGAAGTCTCGATCTAAACAATTTTGTCAATTATGTGTCCTGTCCAACATATCCTTCTGGATGCACTCTAGATCTAGTTTTGTTTTCTTGTGACTGTGTGTTAGATGTTGCAGTTGTCCTGGTTGATCCAGAAATCTCTGACCAAGATTTGGTCACTTGGTTTTAATGGTTTTACAGTAAAACAATTACTTTCACAAACTATAGAAACATTGACCAGACCATGATTAATCAGGAAGCTGATCATTCTGTTTTGTCCTCAGCTGAAATGGTTAAATTACATAATGAAGTCTTCCAGTCCATTTCAGACCATTATTGTCCAGAGGTCACAGAGAGAATTACAGTATGGGATGACACTCCAGGGTATGACTCATCTATAAGTTCTCTTCATAGGGATCATACAAGTGCTGAATGAGAGTGGTGTAGGTGGCGAACAGACCATACTAGATCAGAGTACATATGACTGCGTGTAGGACTGCTGTTTGTTCAGTGAGGGAACGCTTAGTTGAATACAGAAGTCAAGTAGCCTCTTGTGGCAGGGGATCAGAAAAATTGTATGCAGTTATGGATGGGCTGTTGGGCCAGAGGTCTGGAACTACTATACAGTAGTACCTTCTTCCACTTCAGATGCTCTGCTTGCCTCAGATTTTTCCTTGTTTTTTTTATAACAAAGATATCGCATGTAAGAAATGACCTTGATGGTGTTTCTTTAATTGAGGAATTTTTAGTTGAATTTCAACCAAGTTACACCATAAACCTAACTCGTTCATCATTTTGTCCTGTAGGGGTGAACAACATTTCTCAGCTATACCAAGGACTAGAAGAAGACTTTTGTTGTCTTCATCCTGTAAATGTATCTAAGGTACCACTCACTTATGAACATGCTGCAGACTTCATTTGTAGAATCCTAAGTATATGTTTTGCAGAGGACAATTTTGTGCAATCTGAGAAACAGGCTTTATTGCATCCACTTTTTAAGAAAGCTGATCTAGATACTGAAAATATAGGCGTTTATTGAAAGGCGTTTTAGATGAAGGAATAGCTAACTCGTCCGCTATTCTGTCTGCACAGATGCTTCTGCTGAGATCTGCACATGGCACCTCGAGAGGGAAAAGCAACACCTTGATCAGCAATTAGCGTGTGCCACGCCTGAATAGTTAACAACCAATCAGCGAGTTTCTCCCACTAAAACAGTGGGTAAATACGCAGATCATGGCCACTTATGGAGAATATTTCGATTAATATTGAAGAGTTGGGGGCATGTAAGGCATAAAAACTGTGATATAATAATAAAAGTACAGTGACCCCTCGTTTAACGAACACCTCGGTTAACGTAATTTCGATTAACGAACTGCCTTCCATAAGGATCTTCAATTCGGTTAACGAAGTTCTTACGAACCGAACTCAACATGTTTTCGCTTGCACTGACCAGGCAACCAGCTTTAGTATCAGTCCGCCAATACATTAATCGGTTCTAGGGCTTAAATTCCTTACTATTTTAGTAAATATCAATAAGTTTATACTATTCAATAATTTTAAAAGTTTAATATTCAATTTCTTAAGTCATTTTAACAATTATTGAACATAATTGAAGGTAAAGTGACTAGTTTAATGCGCGGCATCCAGCCTCTTAACACAGCAAACAGGAGGTAGTCTCTCTCTGTTTTCACTGGAGGTAACATCTTGCTTGAGACTCTCTTCAACTAAATGCTTTTTTTCTGTTTCCAAGCAAATTATTGGTCATTTTGAAATTATTTTACATATTGACAATATATAATGCAGTGCAGTGTTGATTTAAAGAAAATAATCTTGAATTACACCAAGAGCTAAATTTTATGGGTGAAATGGCACCATGGGGTGACTTCTCTTCCACCCCAATGCCTTCTCTTCTCCCTTCTCCTCCACCCCCATTCTAAATTCCATCATCATCATCATCATCCAGGAGTCTTCTACATACACACCTCAAAGTAAGTGAACTTTTCTACCATTTTTGTTGAATTTAGGAAATTTTCGGTGAGCTGGAACCAATTACCCAAAAACCACTAGCGTAGCTAGGGGGGGGCGGTCCGCCCCGGGCGGCACTTTTGGGTCTGCTCATCACCCATATCTGCAGCTACTGGAGACGTTAATCCACCCCTTTGTATCGGTGGCAAGTTAATCCTTGTCGTGTCTGACCTAACACCTGACCCACATCATCACGGCCACGTCATGAGATACACCCTTGCTATGCGCCCCCCCCCCGCCACACACACACAACCTGTAACCTGTTGAGGATTAAGGAAACAACTTCAAACAAGTACGCCAGTGAGCTCATGTGGTGTGGGTCAGGTGTTAGGTCAGGCTTGTGAAAGAATAACACGCTGTCTCAAAGGAGATTAAATCTCCAACTAACCTAAACTCACTCTGATCTCGAGGTCCAACATAAAATGGAAACTGCAGCGGGCCTATTGGCCCATACTGGGCAATCCCATTTACACCCAACCCTATAGCGAATATAGCAATCCAACCTATGTTTGAAGCTACCCAGCGTAAAGTTAACGATGATGTTTGCTAACTTGTTCCACTCGTCCACTATATTTCCAACCCATTGTTTACCTATTTCGCGCCTAAATCTAAATTTGTCCAATTTAAAACCATTGTTACGAGTTCGCTCCTGGTTGGATAGTTTGAGTACCTTTGTAATATCCTTTGTTTAGCCTGCCTTCCACTTATACACCTCTATCAGGTCGCCCACACACCACTCTCACGTCTCTCAAGGGAGTGCAAATTAAGATACTTTAACCTGTCTCTATACTCAAGGTTCCTAATGCCCGGGATTAGTCTTGTCATTCTCCTCTGAATTCTTTCCAAGGATTCTATATCCATTCTGTAATAAGGTGACCAGAACTGAACTGCGTAATCCAGGTGTGGTCTCACAAGAGCAAGATACAGTTTTAGGATGACCTAGCTAGTCTTGTAACTAACACTCCTTTGTATGAACCCAAGTACTTTATTAGCCTTGTTGCGAGCAAAAGGCACATTGTTTACTTGGCTTAAGGTTCCTACTTATCATTACACTCCCTAAATCTCTCTACTTGGTCGGATTTCTCTATGGCATCGTTGTTCATCTGTGGTATCCTGTTTGCATCTCTCCTATATGGGTACTTTACATTTGTCGTTGAGATTTCATCTGCCATTTTTCAGACCATTCGGCATTTGTTTTAGATCTTCCTGTAGTTTTTGCGAGGTCCTGCGTCAGATTTGATAACCGTCCTATTTTAGTGTCATCAGCAAATTTACTTATGTTGCTTGCTGTCAATGCCGATATCTATGTAGGTTTATGTATATAATAAATAATAATGGTCCAAGTACTGGGCCTTGAGAGACTCCACTTGTGGCGTTGCTCCAATGGGACTTAGTGCCATTAATGCTCACTCGCTGTTTCCTGTCCTGTAACCACGCCCTAATCCATTTAAGGATGTCACCTTTGATGCCATGTGCTTCTACCTTTCTAATTAGTCTTTCGTGGGGGACTCTGTCGAAGGCTTTGCTAAAGTCGAGATATACCACATCATAATTGTGCCCCTCGTCCACCGATTCGAAAACTGATGAAAAGAATGTTAATAGATTAGTTAGGCAAGAACGTCCGCTTGTGAAGCCATGCTGGGAATCATTGATCAATCGGTGCTTCTCCAGGTGATTTCGAATAGAGTTTGAAATGATTGCTTCCAGTAATTTGCCTACTATTGATGTTAGACTGATTGGGCGGTAGTTAGAGGATAGTGATCTATCCCCCTTCTTGAAAATCGGTATTACATTCGCTATCCTCCAGGATTCTGGTACTACACCGGTTTTTAATGACATGTTAAACAACTTTGCTAAGGGCATACTAAGCTCTTCCTTACATTCCTTTAATACTCTGGCAAATATCTCATCGGGACCAGGTGACTTATTAGGCTTTAGTTTGTCTATTTGCTTACTAACATCGTTACTAGTCACTACTATCTCACTTAATTTGTTTTCTTCACTATCTCTGAATAGAGTCGGATCATATCAGTTCATGTACAGCCGACCAATCCACCAGTTACAAGCAATTCACTTCAGTTCTGCACAAGTCTCCATCGTGACAAGACGAGGGGAGGCTAGACGACTTTTATGTTCTCTTGTGTTTTCGATCCAGTTAT